CATACATCGCATCAAACAATAGATTTACTGAGAGAACACTTCTGTGAGAAAATAATTCCACGCTTTGGGCCGGTCGATTGGCCACTAAGATCGTGTGATATCACACCGTTCGACTTTTTCTCGTGTGGGGATATGTAAAGTCTGCAGTCTTTGCGGGCAACCCTGCTTCGATTCAATCTTTGGATATAAAAAGTAGGAAATCTAGAAATGGATCATGGATCTTTAGTATGACATTGTATAAGACTTAGTATAAGACAATATCTAGAACCTTGAACCATAATAATAGGATACTAGACATTTTGGAAAAAACTCTACTATTTTAAGGTGATTTCTTCAATAAAATACCCRGACACAAATCAACCAAGGGATGACAGACTTGCATTTTCTTGTTCTCAAACCTCAAGAGATTATTCATTAGAACAAAATCGAAAATGAGCGATTATCGCCGGGACTGCAGCAAATTTGGAATCGAGATAACAACTTTATTAAAAAGCTTGTATCGAAATATAAAAGAAAGCATAACTGCATAACTGAAACATATAAACATATATAAACATGTGATCAAAATTGACTAAATCGACAAAAAATTGTAATCATAATCATTGAAAATGTTGCAGAAGAGTTTTCATTTCACCACTTGGCACATATGAGTCGTTTATCCTCCTCTGTTGATGACGATATCATCGAAAAAGTAAAAAAAAAAAGATCTCACAATATATCATGGATCGACTCAACTCATTTTGTTCAATGTTTGAGTATTAAGCATGTCAATGCTAGACTCGTCCCAAAAAGCACGAATCTTTTGCTAAAACGGCATAGTAAAGCTCGTAAAAGAAATGCTTGACAATGTAGACGATGATTGTACATTCAGCAAACGTATCATTACTGCTAACGAAACATATTATGCACAAAAAATAGTAAGTTTAATTTAATAGTTTTAATTCAAATTTCGGCGAAAACCCACTCGTCGAAATATAGTATTTTTTCTAGGTTGGTGTGAGTGTTAGTGACATCTCTGTCAAATGTCACATCAAAATAATATTTACTTGAGGGGACGACATAGATTTTGAAGTATAAATTAACAATTTTAAAAATATGGACAAAGTCTTACTATTTTTTGMTTTATTTATAAATATAAATCGAAACTGCTCAAACAATCAAGCAAAGGTTGCTACAAAAATGAGGCGGAACCGAAAAAACCGACGCTTACAACAAGTGAATGGGAAATTCAAATCAGCGTTAGCTATTAATATACTGTCAGAAGGAGCCTATTCTGAAGGCGTTAATAAATATTTGTTGTATTATATTGTGTTGGAAACCCAAAWTTTTATCCTCCCGGGTCAAATTAGATCAGATGGTATAGTCGTTATCCACGAAATACAATTTTTAAACGGCTCAAGCTGAAGCTTCAACTATGTAAATGAACAGCATATAACATTTGTTGCTCGCATTCCGTTTTAAAGCGCAACACAGAATGTCCAAACACAACAAAGGTTTTTCTCTATTTTTATACATTTYTAGATTTTTGAGTATAAATAATTGCTTTTCTATTACTACGTTTACGGCTTTCATACATGTTTACTATAAAAGTCAATAGCAACATATTTATGGCATGCGCGGCGAGAGTAGTGTATATTTCTTATGTACATACATACAAATATACAACTACATAGTGTTAATAGGCACTTATGAAGGCATGAAATAAACCGCAGTTATGCACACATAGTATAGGATAGAACTGACTACAGAAATGTGCTACAAAACAAATGTTTAACAGATGTGCAAGAAATAATGTAAATCGCTTAGCAATTTCCATTAATAGCTTTAGTTAGTACGGCAGATGAATCACAGCTATCTAAAGCGCACACAAACACACACACACACATGAAATACATATTTGCACTTGACATCGTCAATCATAGGTTGGCCGGCAGACGGACAATTGCCATTGTTTGGCGAGGTGTGAATTATGTTAAGCTGACGGCGAATACTAAACGTTGACTAATGCAGAACAGAAAATAACTACAACAAAAAAGGCAACCGAAATAATAGAAATAAAAGTTTAAACAGCAACTAGAGGACATTTTCAGTGATTAACAATCGCTAAATGTTTATTTAGGCATGTTTTAAGAAATTTTGTTGTTGTTGTTGTTGTTGCTTGCATTAGCTTTTATAAGCAAAATGATAATAATTTAAATCAACCGACAGTGCTTTTAAAAGCCATAACAACAACAACTATTTGCAGACTACTTTAAATTATTGCCGACGAATTATGCGCTCTAATACCGTTGACCTCAACCATGAGGTGTACCGTTTGAATTTAATTGGTTTTTGCTAATGTTTTATTAAGCAATCGGCTTAGATATAAATTCAATGCCAATAAAAGCGAATATTGCACTTGAAATTGTGCATAATTTGACAAGTGAATGTGTCATCGGCGGCAGACAGCGCGGCGCGGCAGACACAACGCAGCTGCACACACGCAAGCGCCTATATACAACATAGATGCCAATGCTCAATATGCAAAATCGTAAGATTTCGAAAGCAAGAAATAAATATAAAAAAAGTTAAGAATGTAAAAAGATATATTTGCACCTAAAAATTAAAAAAAAAAA